CTTTCACAGGCATCGCCCCACAATCAGTTGCGCACTGGGATAAATGTTTCAGGCTCTGTCACTCACTAATTGTGGCACTAGATACACAATCTTCCCTGAGTCTCACTTTTAGTCATTCATAAAATGGGTATAGCAGTCAGACTGTTAGGAAAATTGAATGCCTGGGGCCTGGTGAGCACTTCATAAATGGTGGTTGTTGTTAATGGAAGCTGCCACTACTGTCTTGTGTTTTCCTTTAGGTAAATAGAATTATTCCCATTTTGTTGTTGTTGTTGCTGTGGTTACTAAGTGCCCTCCAGTCAGTTCTGACTCATAGTGATCCTGTATAGGGTTTCCAAGGAGCAGCTTGGTGGGTTTGAACCACTGACCTTGTGGTTTAAACCGACATGCAGTCACGTGCTTATCCTACAGTGCCACACTAACACTCCACATTCCCATTTTAGAGAAGAGGAAAATTGAGGTTCTAATTGCTTAAGCAACTTCCCCAAGATCACCGAACTGCGTAGCTTCAGTCAGCATCCTACCTCTTCATAAAGTCTGTGTGGCCAGTGGAGAAGTAAGAAGGCAGTGTGGTGGGGTGGACAGGTAGAGATGGTGATTCACACCCTTCCCACCATTATTCAAAATTACTCACTTGGGCAAGTCCTTTTTCTACATTGTCTCTAAACTCAGAATGAGGACGCCAGTTTCAGATAAGGCTAAAAAGCGAATGAGAGACGATAATCAGTGTTGTGAGGCTGAGGAGAAATCAGGACTCTTAAGCATTGTTGGTGGGGATATAACATGGTTCATTCACTTTGGAAAGCATTGAGCAGCTCCTCAAAAAATTAAATATACAAGTATTGTAAAAAAACTGTTATCATTGAATCAATTCATACTCATGATGAGCCCACCTTTAGAGTAGATCTGAATCCCAGGGGATTTTCTTGGCTGTCCTGTTTATGGAACCCTGGTAATACTATAGGTAAGCACTGGACTGTAGTCCAAACCCACCAGCTGCTCCTTGGGAGAAAAACATGGCTGTCTACTCGTGTCAAGATTTACAGCCTTGGAATCCCTCTGCAGGATCACTATGTGTTAGAATCAACTCAGTGGCGGTGGGTTTAGTTTTGGTTTGGTAATCTCTATGGGAGTAGTTGCAAGGTCTTTCTTCTGAGGTCCCACTGGGTGTGCTCAAACTGCCAACCTTTTGTTGTTGTTGTTGTTGTTGTTGTTAGGTGCCATTGAGTTGGTACCAACTCACAGCGACCCTATGCACAACAGAACAAAAGACTGCCCGATCCTGGACCAACCTCACAATTGTTAAGCCTGAGCCCATCGCTGCTGCCATTGTTTCAATCCACCTTGTTTGGAGTCTTCCTCTTTTTCTCTGATCCTTCACTTTACCAAACATGATATCCTTCTCCAGTGACTAGTCCCACTTGGTAATCTGTCTGAAGTATGAGAGACAAAGTCTGTGCATCCTGACTTCCAAAGGACCTAAGGTACCAGTTCCACTTCTATACTCAAGGGAATTAGAAGCAGATGTCTACACAAAAACTTGTATACAAGTGCTCCACACAAAAACTTGTATACAACTGCTCATAGCAACATTATTCATAAGATCCAAAAATTGGACAACCCAAACACTTATCAATTTATAAATGGACAAACAAAAATATGATATATCCATACAATAGCATGATTTCCCACCATAAAAAAGAATGAAGTACTGATGTCGTTGTTGTTAGGTGCCATCGAGTCTGTATCAACTCATAGCGATACATACTACAATATGGATGAACTTGAAAATATTATGCTGCTATCGGGCCGGGCAACAGAACACTAGAAAGTCATGAAATATAGTATAAAAGAGGTTTATTAGAGAAAGACTGCCTGCAGGGAAGAAGTGCTAAAGACAGCATCATCTTACCAAGTTTACAGCTGGCATGTATGTATAGGAGGCGGGCATTCCTGTTTGTGTAGTTAGGTTCTCATGTGTTACTTCCATCTCTCCTTTTTCCCATGATGCATCTGGTATCCATGATGGAGTCCAGGAGTTCAAGATGGATTCCGCTGCAGAGAGGTCTGGGATATTTGGCATAACCGGTTTTGCATCTGCACTGAAAACTGGTTACAGGGGAGGTTACTATGTAGCTGATGGTTAGCAACCCCTGCTGGGTTGTTGAATAGGGAGAGAGCGTTTACAAGCCCCATAGGGTTCTGGACACACAAGGAGATAGCTTTGACCATTTTATCTCATTTAATATCCTGTTTGCCTGGCGAGGAGATAGACTCTATCTCTTGTCCACATTCGGCTCTTTGGTTCTCTGTATTTGAAGGTTTGCTTTATGGTTTTATTGATCGTTTCCCAATGCCATTTCCTGCTGTCCCAGTAATTTTCCTCAGTTGTTTCCCTCCTGTTCCCTTACCCAACAATGCTAAGTGAAAGAAGCCAGACACAAAAAGCCACATACTGTACAATTCTACTTATATGAAAAGTCCAGAGTAGGCAAATCCATAGAAACAGAAAGTAGATAAACTGGTTGGCAGAAGCTCTGAGGAGAGAGGAATGAAAGTCAATGGGTACAGGGTTTCCTTTTGGAGAGATAAAATGTTCTGGAGCCTGGCTTCCACTACCAACCACACTGAAAGGGATGACGTTAGAAGGTCTTGGATAGAGTGGGAGAAAAATGTGGAATAAAACTCAAAAGCACAAAAAAGTCCAGGCTTACTGGTCTGGTAGAGACTGTTGGAAACTCCAAGACCATAATCTTTTGTCTCCCTTGAGGTCTGGAAATGATATCACCCAATTTGGCCCAATTTTCATTCATACCACAATAAACAGGTCTATAAATTAATAACACTAGGGAGGTGATGCACTCCATAGAACAATCAACCATTCAGGATCAAAAGGGTAACAATTACCCAAGGGCAAAGTTCAGAAGGCAGGAAGCTGAATAAAGAAGGAGGAATGGAAATAGGATCAAAAGGGTAGAAGTGGGAATAAGTGAAGTTACATTGTGGGGACTATAACCAATGACATGAAACAAAATGTGTATGAACTGTTGACTGGGAAGCTGATCTGCTCTGTAAGCCTCCACCCAATTCACAAGAAAACGTCAAAAACAGAAGAAGAAGAAAAAAGGGAAAATATTCTCATTGATGAAAGCTCTTAACTGCTAACTGAAAGATCAGTGGTTCGAACCCTCCAGCTGTCCCTCGGGAGAAAGATGTGGCAGTCTGCCTTGGAAACCCTATGGGGCAGTTCTGCTCTGTCCCAAAGGGTTACCATGAGTCTAAATTGTATACTTTAGAAGGCATGTGACTCATAATACAGAGAAAGTAAAGTAAATGGGAGCAGTGAGTGGTCAGTTAGCACAGTGTCCTGTGTATGGAATGTTAGTTCTCACCCGCTCTCACGGGACAGTTCCTTATAAGACTTGAAGAGGGTGTGGGTCTATAACTCCATCTGCTCACCTTGCTCCCATCTCCCTGCAGCCCACATTGCTGAAAACACCTCGAATCTTCTTCAGCACGTGCGATTCCAGTCCAGCAACTTTGAAAGCATTCTGACCTGGGACAGCGGGCCGGGGAGTGCCCAAGACACAGTCTACAGCGTGGAATATAAGACGTAAGCTTCTCTCCCAGCCCAACTCTACTGTCTAGGGAAATCCCCCTATTCCGCATGTCATATTGATCCACCTGGACTGAAGCCACCCTGCCCCTCCCAGATCGAGCTCTGTTCCTTTCTGTTTTGTTTTCGGAGGGAGGATAAAATAATGACTATAGGTGCAGGCTCGCCAGACACGCTGGCCAGCTCGAATGCCGTTCACCCTGTGTGACTATGAACAGCCATGTCATCTCACCAGTTTTTCCATCTGTAAAATTAGGCTTGTCCAAAAGGGTTGTTCCAAAGCAAACCAAACCTGTTGCCTTTGAGTCGATGTGTCTAATATTGACCCTGTAGGAGAGACTAGTGTGGCTCTGTAAACTCCTGATGTAGTGCTGTAGGATCAGCTTTGGACTGTGAGCCACAAGGTCAGCAGTTCAAACCCACCAGCTGAACCTTGGAAACCCTATATGGGTCACTATAAGTCTGAATCGACTCGGTGATATTTAATAACAGCAGGACAGAGTACAGCTGCCCCATAGAGCTTTTACTATTATAAATCCTGTGGTGGGTTCGAACCACCAATCTTTTGATCAGCAGCTGAGCACTTTAGCCACTGTGACCCAGGGATCCATATAAGATTGTTCCAGAAATCAAACCAAACCCATTGCCAAATAGGGTTTCTGAGGCTGTAAATGTTTTCAGAGCAGAAAGCCTCATTTTTCTCCTACAGAGCTGGTGGTTTAAACACTGGCCTTATGGTTAGTAATACAATGCTTATCTTGAAGTGCCATCAGGGTTCCTTATATGGCTGTTGTATAGTTGTTAGTACCATTGAGCCAGTTCTTATGCATAGTGACCCTGTATAGGGTTTCCAAGGAGCCGCTGGTTGGTTCGAACTGATGACCTTGTGGCTCACAGTCCAGTGCTGATCCTACAAGCCACACCAGGCATCCATCAAGTTGTTGTTGTATGTTGTTGCTGTTGTTAAGTGCCGTTGAGTTGGTTCTGACCCTGTATAGGATTCCCAAGGAGCAACTGGTGAGTTTGAACCACAGATCTTGCAGTTCAAACAGACCTTGTGGTCATGTGCTCATCCTGTTGTTGTTATTGTTAAGTGCTGTGGAACCGTCCAACCCATAGTGACCCTGTACAGGGTTTCCAAGGAATAGCTGGTGAACTTGAATTGCCAACCTTGCAGTTCAAACGGCTTTGCAACCTAGCACAGTAACTCACAGTGTCACACCATTAGGTAATGGAAGCAATTAACACTTGTGTCTGGCATGTAATAGGCTATTGATAATTGTTTAGGCTTGTTTTTAGTGGCAAGATTGTTGTTGTTGTTAAGTGTTGTCGAGTTGGTTCTGACTCATAACGACCCTGTATTGGGTTTCTGAGTGACTGGTGGTTTGAACTGCCTAATTTGTGGTTAGAAGTTCAGTGCTTAGCCTACAGCGCCACATCAGGTTGCCAAAAAGTGCATCCATCCACACTCTCGCAGTCTGCCCCTGCTATCCCAGCCCTGCCCACACGGCTGTTTCCATTCTTTCTTCCCAAGGAGGGGAAGAGGCCTGCACAGGCTCAGGAGTCTGCAAATCTGGGTTCCATTCCTCGTCTTGCCATGGCACTCTGTGGCAAGTCACTTCCTCCCTCTGAGCCTCGCTCAATTCCCTCATCTGTAATATGGGAATAACGATCCATGCCTGCCTTGGAGTACAAGGAGCATGAGCTCAGACTGTGGACTCAACTGGGTTGAAATCCTGGCCCCCACGGTCATATTTCATATCTTAGGCAAATGTGAAATTCTTGGTGTGGTACTGTAGGTTCAGCAACGGACCAGCTGCTCCTTGGAAACCCTAATGTTGTTGTTGTTAAGTGCCATTGAGTCGGTTCCGACCCATAGCGACCCTGTACAGGGTTTCCAAGGCTATAAATCTTCACGGGAGCAGAAAGCCTCCCCTTTCTCCCATGGAGCAGCTGGTAGTTTCGAACTGCTGACCTTGCGGTTCACAGCCCGATTCGTAACAACTATGCTATACAGGGTCGTAATGAGTCAGAACTGATTCAATGGCACTTAACAACCACAGGCAAAGTGCCTCAGTTCCCTTATCTGAAAAAGAGAGAAAACAGTGTAAGAACCTTAAGGGACCCTTGTGAGAATGAACTGCCTGGGACACAGGTGTGCTAAGTCAACATTTAATATCATGATCATAATGAATAAACCTGGGGCCCTGCCCCACCCTCACCTACAGATATGGAGAGAAGATGTGGAAGGTAAAGGTGGGCTGCCAGAAGGTCACCCGGAAATCCTGCAACCTGACTGCAGAGACAGGCAAACTCACGGAGCTCTACTACGCCCAGGTGACCGCCGTGAGCGCAGGGGGCCAGTCCACCACCATGATGAGCCATCGCTTCAGCCTGCTGCAGGACAGTGAGTGGGAGGGAAGGGAGAACACAGGATGGGCTTCGCCTCCCAGCAGAGTTAGGGAGGTGGCTTTTAGGGAAGATGCCCCTAGCTTGGGAGTATCTCCAGGGCCCCCTTACTGTTTCTTCTTCTCCATCCCACCGCCCTAGTTCACACCATCCTCACAACCACGACCATGGCCTCTCAACTCATTTCCCCCCTCCCTCCTAGACCTCCTCCTGCCCACTTTCCACAGAGCAGCCAGAGAGATCTGTTCAAGACATAAATTCAGCCCTCTTACTCCTGGTGTGGCGCTGTGGGTTAATGCACCAGACTGCAAAGCCGTTTGAACTGCAAGGTTGGCAGTTCAAGCTCACCAGCTGCTCCTTGGAAATCCTGTATAGGGTCGCTATGGGTCGGAATCGACTCAACAGCACTTAACAATGACAACAACCCCTGCTTGGAGTCCTGGTATGGTGCTGTAGGATCAGCACTGGATCAACCACAAGGTCGGCAGTTCAAACCCACAGCTGCTCCTCAGAAACCCTGTACAGGGTTGCTATGAGTTGGAACTGACTGATGGCACTAACAACAACAACCCCCTGCTTAAATCCCTCAAATAGATGCTTAGGCTTCTTGAAATAAGGCCCGGGCAGCCTCCAAGGCCCTGCCTATCTCTCCATCACCATCTTGGTCCTTTTCCTGCTCCACGGACCCTGAATACACACCAAGCTCTTTCCAGCCACAGCTGTTTTGCTTCCCAGGTCTTCTCTAATCTTTAGCTGTCAGCTTCCCTCCTGAGTGGGTGTCCCAGCCCAGACATCCTAATTTCAGCTGATCACCACCTGTTGTTATTTTCTATGGAAATAATCTCTCTTTAGAGCTCACACCATAATCTGTAATTATTGTATTTGCTTACATGTTGATTTGCCTCTTCCGGTAAAAGGCGAGCTTCATGAGGACATGTGTGGGCTGTGGAATCCACTGTCCTTCCTACTCTTAAACTGGCACACAGAAGATGCTCAATCCACAATTGATAGTTGAATGAATGAATGACCACGTAGCGTGAACTGCCAAACACCACTCCCAAGCTAACAAAGGAGTGACGTTCACCAATTGACTTATGAGTCAGCTTATGTTTTTATTGAGGGTTTTTTTTCTGGCTTGTTTAACTAACACAGGCTCATTGTAGAAATTTTATAAAAGAGAGAAATTCACAAAGAAAAATGATATTCATCCAGAATAACCTGAACATTTGAATATAACTGTAGATACTGGCAACCATTTCTACTATTTTATCATGTTTCCCCCATTGTTGTTGTTGTTGTTAAGTATCATGGAGTCAGTTCCAACTCATAGTGGTTTCTGAGGCTGTAAATCTTTATGGGAGCAGAAAACCTCATCTTTCTCCCGTGGAACAGCTGGTGGTTTCGAACTGCCGACCTTGAGGTTATTAGCACGATTCATAACCACTACACTACCAGAGCGCCTTTCCCCCGCCCCTATTAAATGTCATCAAATATTTATCTACAGCATGATGTCTCACAGCTGTAAAGTGATCCATTCTCTGGAGGTACTCAAATGTAGTTACCTAATTCCCTTTGCGAGGAGTTAGGTCTGTTTCTCAATTATATAAACAACCCTGAAGTGAACATCTTTCTAGCTCATAGATTTTGATTGAATCTTGGTGGCCAATTGATCCTTGAAGAATTTTTATAAAAGGTTCAGGGAAGGAGGACTTTCATGAATCCCTAAAAGCAAATGCAAAATTTTTGTATATACATTATTTTAGAGAGAAGATGAATAACATTCATCAGCTTCTCAAAGGGGTGTGTATACCAGCAAAGGTCATTAGGCTATTTGGACATTTCTATCTTGTGCAAAAGGAGCTCTGGTAGCGTAGTGGTTATGAATCGGGCTGCGAGCTTTAAGGTCAGCAGTTCGAAACTACCAGCTGTTCCATGGGAGAAAGATGATGCTTTCTGCTCCCGTAAAGATTTACAGCCTTGGAAACCCTGTACAGAGTCGCTATGAGTTGGAACTGACTCCACGGCACGTATCAACAACAACAATCTTGAGCAAGATTGAAGTCTTAGGTCTGGTCTTTGAGGATGAATGGCCAATATTGGGCCCCCTCAAGCATTATTTAGAATATGCAGTTGAATCATTAGTCCCTAAAGCTGTAATTGACAATAGAGAGGTCATCTCAAGTGAGGACATAGGGGTTGGGATGTGTGAAGTACCGTCTAGTCGGTTCTGGCTCATAGTGATCCTTTGCACAACAGAACAAAATACTGCCAACACCATCCTCACAATGGTTGTTTGAGTCCATTATTGCTGCCACTGTGTCTATCCATCTTGTTGGGGGCTTCCTCTTTTCGCTAGCCCTCTCTGCCAAGCATGATGCCATTTTCCAGGGACTGGTCCCTCCTGACATGTCCAAAGTAAGTGAGGTAAAGTCTCGTCACCCTTGCTTCCCAAGAGGATTCTGGTTGTACTTCTTCCAAGATAGATTTGTCTATTTGCAGTCCATGATACTTTCAATATTATTTGCCAACACCATAATTCAAATGCATCAATTCTTCTACAACCTTCCTTATTCATTGGCTAGCTTTCACATGCATAGGAGACAATCAAAAATATACAGCGCTTGGGTCAGGCGCACCTTAGTCCTCAAAGTGACAACTTTGCTTTTTAACACTTTAAAGAGGCCTTTTGCGGCAGGTTTGCCAAATGAACTAGGTTGCTTGATTTCTTAACTGCTGCCTCCGTGACTGTTGATTGTGGTTCCAAGGAAATGGCTGTAAGATGTGCAGGCTAATTGCCACCTTATCCTAGCTCCCTTCCTCTTACCCATGGTCATCCCTTGCCAGCCTTAAACCCAGTCACCAGCAGCTTACCAAAATTGTTCTCTTTTCACCTGTTTGTTTCACTGACACTTTCAGAAGCATAGCTTGGGCTCGGGTAGGAGGAGAACAGATAAGTCATTTCCCATCATCCAGGCAGTCTCACAGACCTATGGCCTAATCTGACTTTGTCTTTGCTCTTTTCCATCACCATTTTCCCAGCCACCATCAAACCACCTGATGTGACCTGTATTCCCAAAGTAAGATCTGTCCAGATGATTATCCACCCCACATTCACGCCCATCCGTGGGGACAATGGCCATCAGCTAACCCTACAGGACATCTTCCAGGACCTGTTGTACCACTTAGAACTCCAGGTCAACCACACCTACAAAATGGTAAGTATGTTTCCCTGCCTAGGAAACCCCTCTGTCACTCAACTGGGCAGGTAGAAAACAGATATGTCATATAAATTGGCATTTCCCAAAATGTGTCCCTTGGGAGGCTTCCTGAAGGCTAGCAAACACAAACATCTCTCTCTTGTCTTGGGGTTGTAGCAAATGTCTCCCCTCTTGCAGGTTCACTTGCTAAAGGCTCTGAGAAGTCCTGCTGAGTCAAAACTTCAGTTCTGATTTGTTCAGCACAACTGCTCTCAAATTTATTTGACCAGAGACTCTACTGTTTTTGTATAACACAGGCTTTACTTTTTCCCTGATACCTATCAATATCCAGGGGGAACAACCTCTACTAAGGTTCTCAGGTGTCCACTATGGGAAATGCTGGAAATAGTTTCTACTGCTGCAGTTCTTTGTACTGGTTTCACCACTATTTGTGGGAACTAGATACAGGCATCAACAGGAAGCCTGGTGGTTCAAACCCACCATCTGCTTAGAGGGAGATAGATGAAGTTGTCTATTCCTATAAAGATTTACCGTCTTAGAAACCCTAAAAAGCAGTTCTAATGTTCTACAGGGTTGCTATGAGTCACAATAACTCCAGAGCAGTGTGATTTGGACACAGGCAAATCCCTAAAGTCCTAAAATAATGATAGGTGGGAGGTTCAGACATAAGAGTATCATGGGGAAAATGATATCAGTTGTCAGAAAATTTTCATAATTGGTGCCAATACCGTTTACTTAACACTTACTATATTATATAACCAGGCACTATATGGAGTCCTAAGGAGCTCTGGTAGCATAGTGGTTACAAATCGGGCTGCAAACCTCAAGGCCAGCAGTTCAAAACTATCAGTTGTTCTGCGGGAGAAAGATGAGGCTTTCTGCTCCCATAAAAATGTACAGCCTTGGAAACCCTGTACAGGGTCGCTATGAGTCGGAACTGACTCCACGGCTCATAACCACCAACCACCATATGGAGGCCCGGTGTGGCACAGTAGGATAAGTGCAAGACTTCTAGCCACAAGGTCGGCAGTTCAAATCCTCCAGCCCCTGCTTGGAAACACTAAATAGGGTTGCTGTGGATCAGAGCCAACTGGATGGCACAAACAACAAGGTAATGCATACATGTCATGTTGGTTAGTCGTCATTACAGCCATATCAAGAAAGTGCTAATTC